ACACACACACACACAAAAATACACATATACAAATACGCACACATACACATACACAAACACACACGTACACACACAGAGTCGCCGCAAATATGCATTTCTGCTACCTGTTGCAACGCTCTAGCGCTGCACAGCAAAAACGCATAACTAGCGGATGTGTCTAGGAATATCAGTACCTCTCGGAAAACGGCGTAACGATCTCAAGGTAACAGTGTTATTGGAGTGTTCCCACATGCTTGGTGCAGCCATGCCATTCTAAGCCTCACGACAACACTTGGTACCTTCCAGCTGTTCGATGTATGTGTGCCACTTCTTCGGAGGTCGTTCACGTATCCGCAAAATATTTGAAATTCAAATAAATAACAAAGCCCTACCGACCTCTTCCGGTACTTGAGGGGTATCCTCCGAGAGAATGCCATCAGCAAGCGCTGAATTGCATGGGAAGCTCAGCCTCACGCGGCTGCCTTTGCTCGTGGCAGTGGTAATATTGACGCAAGGCTCAGTAGCCTATGGATAAAAGCAGCGAGGATAAGTGCGGTAACCTTCCGCAATGGTCTTGGTGTCCAGGAATGGTCCTTGAGCACTCGCGAAGCAGAGATGAGAGGACAAAAGATGAGAGGACTCACGCGCTTTTGGTGTTGACGTTCGCGCATTTTCAAATTGTGCAGAAGCTTTGCGCCTACTCAATTCTTCACGTAACTCTGGAAAAAAAAAACAGTCTGTCAAAATTCAAGTGAACTTACAGCGCAACTATTTATAATCATAAATGAAGGATTAGACCCTTTAGCACCTCTTCTCTCAACCAAACCAGCAGGCTTGGCTCAGCGAGAAGTAGGACTGTTGTCGCGCAGTAAGTCAAGGTATCAAGGTCCAATTTCAGAAGTGGAAACCAGTCCTTCTGTGATCCGTTCATTCATTTCGATGATAGATCAGTACTGACATACGTCACCGGGTCAAACTCGTCATCTTCTTGCTTGTAAGCAACCCTCGAAATAAAGCAGTCATCGAAAACCCAAACAGCTGGTGATTACTGTTAGCAGTCGTCTATATCTTCAGAAGTATCTACGCCCCAGAAGTTTTGACTTTGACTCAAATTGTTAAAAATTTTGTCTTAAAATTAAGAACAAGCAGTGCGGAACTATTCAAAGGCCAGTCAAGGGAAAATTATAAATCGACAGGAGAATCGCACATTTCAAATGCAGATGAAATGAATTATCGAACTTTCAACCTAAGATATGCTGTTTTTTTTTTAAATGAGCAACAGAAAACAACGATGAGGAAGTGTATGAAAAAAAAAAACGCTTCAATTTTTGACAAAAATTGAAAACCTGAAAAAAAATCATCGAAAAAACTAGCCTGTTTCCTGTCGTTCAACAATGCTGCGGATATCGTTCAAATCGGGCACTAGTTGTGGTGAATGCGATTTGCCTGTTGAAAAAACAGACGACGATTTCTCCAGTCGAGGAGACCGTTCTGGCGTCTTAAAAAAAAGCGGGATAAGTAGACGAATTTGAATAACTGGCCA